AAGTATAACACTTATTAGTTAGTAAAAATTTATATTTACTTACCAGTTTGACAAAGTAAAAAGTCAACAGAAAACTAACACTTTAAAAATAATAAAGTGACACGTGAAACACTTCTTTTTACTCGCAACAGAAGCACTACCAGAAATGCATTCTGCATGTATTTCATTGGAAATGTAAGCTATCTCATGTTGTGCTTCATTACTATGTAGATTCATTAGGTTATTTTGAAGCAGAAGATGTGAAAAATGTGCAATGTCCTCACTGGGACTCGAACCCCAGACCTACGGAACATGCAGTGAGTATACTTCCAATTACACCATAGCCATGCAGAAAGGAAGGAAAAAATACCTTATATACTACCCTCTTAAAAGGCAACTGGGGATTAGAGACCCAATTGCCAAATGCTGGTGGCAACTAATTATTGTCCACTGCCTTTCATTTCAGGTACCGCTGTAAATTCATTAGGTTATTTTGATGCAGAGGCATGAAATATGTGCAATGCCTTGCTAGAACTCAAACCTGGAACTCTCAAATATGCGCTAAATGTCCTACCATTATACCACGAAGGCATGTTGGAAGGAGGGAGAAAATACCTTATACCTAAATTTATTATGCATATCATATAGACCACTTTGTTTCACAATTCCTTTTCAATTATTTTATGTGTGTTTTAATTTGCATTAAATGCATGAAAGTAGACAATGTTTTGTTCTCTAACCTCAGTTTCATACTTTTTCACAGACCACAGTTTGGAAAAACACTGGTCTAGATCAGTGACAACTTTATCAATTAGGGTGCCAGTTAAATTACAGTTTATTATTTTCAGGTGTCCAGTGTGCCACTTGTTATACTTCTTTTTAAAAATCATCTTTAAACCTCTGCTTTGATTTCAGTAATCCTTTAAAGAACCAGAAGTTTCAAATCTCGATCTCTTTCTCACACTGATGCAAAGCATCGAATCTACATAAAAATGTTTAATTTTCAAAATTATGCTTTGTCTCTTGACACAGTATAAGAATCACTACTCTAATGTAAATATTTTATGTGGCTATTATTTAAAAATTCAGTTTCTGTATAGTATAGAAGCTTTTTATCTCGTCACTTTCTCAGACTATTGCATTTAGAAATCCAAATTGCCTGAATCAATAAAGGAGATGATAACATTCAAAAGTGCTCTCATTCACAAAAAAATTACTTTGTTATGTCTTGAAATATCAGGTTTGTTGCATACCATCTTCATATTCAAATATAAGAAAACACAATTGAAACTGTCATAATTTGCAATTAGGTTTGTGTTTTTTTTATAAATCACCCCACTGATATATTGCCTAAAAAAAAGTCAGTTTTCCCTACAGAAACTTCCATGGTGGTGGGGATACTAGTCACCCTTCCATTTTGGAAAATGTCATAATGGCACCTATGTTTGTGCTCATTTCCAAATCCACCTTCCACGGCCACTAGCCTTGCAGACTTACTTTTGAAATACTGTTTTCAGAAAACATAAGTGAATACGTACCTGTGGCATGCCACCAAAATACCTGTTATATAGGTTTGCCATCCCTGGTCTAGACAGAATTACAGAATTAAGCAAGTTGTTCCTTTTAACCCTTTGTGGGCGAGAAAAGAGTTATGACTATGCAACTATGGGGGCAGAAACTGCCGAAAACTATCTAAAAGATCAAAGGATGGTTTCTCACTCAGCTTTGCAGCAAACAAAATCAAGGTTTTGAGATGCTGAGTAATTATTTTCTTTTTTTAAAAGCTTCATAATAAGTTATTATTAATGTCAACATAAATGTTTCCTTATTCAAACTTTTAAAGCTGAAAAACTTTAAAAATATAATACTGATTTTAAAACTTTTTTTTTTATTTCATTCATTATACTATACATTTTGCTGAATAATGTGCAATACCTGAAGTCAGAATTGAATCATGAAGCTCCAAGAAAAGGACAATGAATAAAATTCTTTATAATAGGTTGTAGAGACATTAGGATTAACTGGAAATGAAAAATTAGCAAATGCCTTTGCCGGGAATCGAAACACGGACCTCTGGAATACCAGCCCAGGGTGCAGAACCACCACACCATGGAGGCATGCTAGAAAAGTGGGAGAAATACCTTATATACTCTCCTTTTTAAAGGGCAACTGGGGTTTTTAGGGAACACAATTGCCAAATCCATCCAACACCCTTTTAGTTTGGGTGCCACTGTAGAGACAGTTGGATATTTTTGGAAGCAGGAAAGATGAAAAATAGCAAACACCTTCGCCGGGAATTGAATCACGAACATCTGGATACCGTCCCAGCGTGCAGAACCACTACACCACGCTAGGAAGGCGTAAGAAATACCTTATATACTTCCCCTTTTAAAGGGCGATTGGGGTTTTTAGGGGACCCAATTACAATCCTGGGTGTGGAGTCATCATCCACAACCCTTTTAGTTCGGGCGACACTGTAGAGACATTAGGATGTATTGGAAAGCCAGAGAGATGAAAAATTAGCAACCACCTTCAGCAATAATCGTACCACGGACCTCTGAAATACCGGCCAAAGGTGCAGAACCACTACACCACGAAGGCGCGCTAAAAAAGGCAAGAGAAATACCTTATAAGGTGACCAAGTTTCTCATCAGCTGGTTATTCCTGAGCTGCAAAAATGATTCCATCCCAGATTCCTTCAGAGATGAAGCCCAGGTACCTTCTCTATCTATTATGCTTCTATTATTTTCTGATAATTGCAATAAAAATAAAATCTGTTTTTAGAACAAATAACAGATATTTGTTTATCCTGCTTGTATTTTGATGTATCTGTTCTAGTACGTAACATCATATACTACAGGCAAAATAATCCTTCTGAAAAATAATAAAACAAATGAATATAAAATTAAAAAAAAATATATATATAATCTAGGAAAAATAACAGCTGTTCCAGACAGCAGGTCTACACCACACAGCTTTTAAAGAGAAAAACAAGCTTTTATTTCTGTTTTAGAAACATGCTCTTACTTCTCATTAAAAAGGAAAATAAGCAAAATAAAGAAAAATAAATAAATAGTTCAAATTCCAGAAAATCAAGAAATGGAAAAATAAAAACCATCAAATGCATGAGGCAAAGAACACAATTATTGGCACACAAACCCTCAGCATAAAATTATACATATTGTCGTACCTGTCTTTAAGCACAACTTCTTTTTTTACCAATGCAAGTTTGTGTTTGCCAAGTAGAGTTAAAGATTTCTAAAATTTAATTTCAAATGTTCTCTGTGTGGAAAATCCTGAATTAACTCCTTTCGACTTTGAAGATTTTTGTTCACTTAATTTACATACATAACACTAAAAATCACATAACTATATCTCAAATTTAAATTTGTTATTTCACATGTTCACCTTTTTCATTCATTTTAGGATTAATAACACTTCCCAGATTAATGGGCATGAAAGTCATATGCTGCCTACATTCTGATACGATTACATATTTTGCTACATAAGCGATTATTCAGAGGAATAGTTGTCTGTGCCACCAACCCAATCATTTTCAAACTTCATATCAAAAATAATTATGAAATACTTTTTTATAGCAAAGCTTTGTTTTCTCCCTCTAACTTTTTCCTCTACAAAAATGTATTATATCATTTGTTCTAGAATAATAACTTTTGAAATCATTGACAGAAGCTTAACTTACCTTCAAAACTAGTATTCTTATTTTTAAAAAAAATTCAAACTAAAATTATGCAGTATATTCATCATTGTAGCGGTCACGTGGTGTGAGAGACCTCAGTGTCTTCGAATAAGTAGTTGCTTGCTTGTGTCACAATCTATTAGCATCAAGGAAAAGTGCAGCAGTACACGAATTTTGCATGCCCTTGATGGTGATGACCTTGGGATTCAATCCTGGGTCTGTTTCATGCGAGTCATATTCTCTACCACTAATGCAAAAGAGCTCCCATGTGCTAGGTTCAAGAATTCCAACTCTTTCGAATTTGTGAGCTCTTAAGATCGCTACACACTCCCTTCCCAAGCATTTCTGATGTGACATGACGAGAAGCCTAGCTTGCGGGCACGGTTGCAAGCCCAATGTGTTGATGTGATTGATCATTGTGCTGAAGGTGGTGGCTGTGGCCCCAGCATGTAAGCATGCTCATTTGAATCTGTCGATTCATGGTTGAAAGGACCAGATCTGTTGGCATTTGTTTCATCATTAGGTTGAGGTGCAGCATGAGTGATGTAGTTTCATTTATCCTCAGAAGACGAAAGTGTTTGACGTTCTCCGGGTCAGGGATGTCATTTGGTGCGAGAGACCTTGGTGGCTTCGAGTGGGTAGTTGCTTACTTATGCCAGCACCTATTAGCGCCAATGAAAAGTGCAGCAGCACGAGTTTCACAGCCCCTTGAAGATGATAATGACCTCGGGATTCGATCTTGGGTCTGTTTCAAGCCAGTCGAATTCACTACTAGCACAAAAGAGCTCTTGAGTGCTAGGTTCATGAATTCCAACTCTTTCAAATTTGTGAGTGTTGATTCGCTCGAAAGATTGCTACAGTAATCATTAATTGTATTTTTCCTTTATACTTCTAGGATGAAGATAATTAATTATGAAATTTGTGTTGATGTAACATAGTAGAACTGACCTTTCAAAAATGAAGTTTGAACTGCCCTCCTATCACATTCGAGGTGGGTTAATTGGGGGGGGGGACTAGCAGACAATTCATCTTATATATATATATATAATGTATAAACTTAGGTATTCGTTGATATGCTAGAGTTTTTAAATATATTTTCTCCTTTTTATGGCTTGTTAGTAATATTTTCCAAGTTATTTTATTTATAATATACAAACTAGAGTTAATCTACAGTTTCTGTGTTAACAGTAATGACTGATAACAGCAGACTGTTAAGACTAGTTACATTTTGGAGGTGTAACTTGCAATTGAATTTTTTATAGCACAGCCCTTGAACTTCATTCTTCAAAGGTCAATTTCATATACAATTCATACTCTTCTATTCCTACCCTAGTAAAGGGTAAAAATTTTATTTATAAAAAATGCAGTATATGTAAATATTATAAAAGAATAAAACTTTCCAATGCCAATAATACTAAGTAAGAAAAAATATCTCATAATAAGTAAGTGAATGATTAAGCTTATAAACATTATGGTAATTTTATGAATTGAAACAGTTTAACCTTTTGGATCTTTGCATGCAAAAGGTGCACTATCCTGTTGAAACAACAAGGCATATTTATGAATAAATTTCACTATTTCTTCAAGTAACTCATGAGAAGACCAGTTTGGTGAATATGAGCAAGAATCAATGCTAACAGAAGTAGGTGCTCCTGAATAAGTATGATACACTGATCGGAATATAAGTTCAGGGACACCAATCGGGAAATTTCTAGGAAAGTCAATTTCGAGCAGAAAATGGAAACCTTTGAGTTCCAGTAAAAGTGTTAATTTCATATACAACAAGACATCATATTCAATTAGACAGTTCTCAAAGTGACTTAGAAGAACAGAAACACATTCCTTCCTTTTCTCATACGCAGAGGCAACAAGTTCTGCATTCTTCTTCAATGCATCTTCAAGAGCAGGTATGTATTCTTTAAATGAAAAAGTACTCAACAATGGTGGTAAATGAAATTCTGGAGATAATTCAAAGGCATTTGAAATATTGGCTGAAAAATATAATCTTTGGGTGCTTCTGCTGATATTTCGCAAAGGAAAAGTAACTAACAAAAGTATTGTCTCTTCTTCAACGTTTCCTAAAAATACATTAGGAAGAATATTTGCAAGCTCAACATGTAACTTTATTAAAAAAGTAATGGGGTTATTCTTATTATAAGACACAAATACTTCAATATCATCTTCACTCATATTTGGTAGTTGTATCAAATTTAAATATTCAATATATAAGTCAGCATAGTTTTCTAACTGAGCTATTTGTATCTCTTTGTAAAAGTACATAAGCTCTTTAACAACAAGCAATAAACCATCTGGATTTTCATAATTCCAATCACATAATGATTTTATATTTTCCAGAGGGATTATAAAACTGCAGTCAGAGAAAAGAAAGTCAGGTGGGCAGTGTGGTGCAGATGACTGGAATATTACAAGGCACTCAACTGACACGCCAGCATATGGGATGGAAATTTTAAATCTGTCACACTGGGAATTTTCATGATCAGTAGAACAAGATGGCTTTGGGTTCATAAATGTAATACTTTTCTGAGAAAGGCCAAAATTAGGATGTCTCATAACCACTTCAACATGGTTCCGGATATATGGTGCAAGGCATGATAAGAAAGCCATTTCTGAAAAGTAAGTAAATATTTAAAAAATGTATATATGCATACTTATAAAGAAATACATAATATTTAACTTACAAAGAAAATTTTCAGAACTAATTACACATCTTTAAAGCTGTTCATGGAAACCACAACGTCAAGAAAAATGTGACATACACCTACTTATTTTTTTTAAATTACGTTATTTAATAATAAATACAAGGCAAAACAGATTATCAATATGTGTGTTGGAAAGTTAGTTGTTACGAGATGGCAACAAAAGAGATTGTTGTTATTAGATAATAGATGACTAAATTCAGTTATAATGTTTTGTGGATGTTGTGTATTGTAAATAAACCTATTAGAACTTTGCTGAAGAATATTACAAAATATTTTAAAACAAGATCTTTCATAGTGTCACATTTCTAGTGAACGGTTCAATTTTTGTTTTTCATAAACTAATGATGATGTTTACGATAATGTGTATACCAGAAAATCAGAGCCTGGATCATCTGGTCAATGAAAAATCACTGATATTATTTTTTTTTAAATGGCTGAGCACTTTATTTAACAACCATTAGCCCTGTGCCACTACAAGTGCCGGAAGTGCCATTTCATTATGGAAGAACCTAAGAGGTGGCCACCACTGCTTCCTATGAAAGGACGGAGAGTTAAATCCATGTCTTCTGTAGGATTTGAGCCCTGGCCTATCACTACGGGAATCAGGGTCACTAACCCCTATACCAGTTGGGCAGCATATATTACATAATGTGATATAGGCAAACATGAAACCTTGGAAAAGGGGCTCAAATTTACCAAGAGAGGAATGCAAATCTCTATAGCAAACTGCATTATAAAAGCATATTTTGAAAGCCAGATAAAATAATTAATACTCAACTAATCAACTAACAATATTTAAATTATCCTGTTAATTCATTTAATATGAAATTAATAATTATTTATTTACTAAAATATTAAAAAAGCACAGTGAACTATAAACAATTATCATCTTAAAAATTAGATAATTCAGAAAATGCAGGTAAACATGAAAAACTCCAAATTTCTTCTTCACATTGATACCTTTGAGTTTATTCAGAAGAAACTCAAGTTTTGAAACAGCCGTCCAGACATTATAGTGGTTAGGGGAGCCTGACTGTGATACCAAAGGGTCCGGGCTCAAATCCCGGAGAAGGCATGGATGTAAAATTGTCTGTCCCTTCATAGGAGGTAACGGTGGCCGCCTATTAGGTGCCTCCACAATTAAATGGCTACCACTTCTGGCCTTAGTGGCCAATGCCATCATAGGCAAGTGCCCGCCATTTGTAAAAAAAAAGTTTTGAAACAGTGAACGCCTTACAATGTGTCAGTAAAACTGTAAAAATTCACCGTAAACAGAAAATTCAACAAACTAAGTTTGAGTTCAGTAGTGTCCTCCTAGCTTTAAATATATTATGTGAAAGCAAGGGCATAGCCATGAACATGGAGGCTGCCTAGTTGCTGAAATGGAAGTTCTCCATAACAGGCTAATTTTTTATGTAATAAAATCTTTTTCTTCAGTTGCACTACAGCCTGTCACAGGCCAAGGCCGTCTCAACAAGCTTCATCATCCAACAGATCCAATTAGTTACAACAGTCTACCAATTCATTTTTAGAGTCCTGAGATCAGCTTCCATCCAGTCTATCCATCTTATGCGAGGTCTGACTTACTTCCAGTGGATCTTGATAATATTAATGCAAAAATTTATTCGTCTTTTTATATATCTACACTGTGCGTATTGAAAGTTTTTTGAAAGTGCAGAAATCGAATATAAAAGAATTATTGGTTACAGCAAAACACGATGGCTAGCTCTTTTACCAGCCGTAGAAAATATTTAAAAAATATATGAACCATTAAAATCATACTTTTCATTACAAGCTAAATGTCCATAAATATTGCAGCTCTTTATTGAAAATGACACATCACAAATTTCGCACAGTTCATCCATAACCAAGCTACATTTATTTCACAATGCTGTGAAAATTATTGAAGGGGACAAAATTTCAATTATGGAAGTGTCAAATGAAACCAATAATTTAAAAACAAAATTGTGAGAAAGAATTGATAACGAGTGCGTTCCTTTAATTATTCAAAAGGACATCTCTAGGTGGAAGAACAATGTACCATTAAACGACCTGATTTTCCGAAAGAAGTCAGAAATTTTTATAATAACTGCTTGGAATATCTTGAAGAACAGACAGTTCAATTCAAGGATATTAAAAATTTTCATAGGGTGACATTAAAAAAGGAGATTTTATGGGAATATAAGGAAAAATCTTTTTAATATATTAGTAACCCTTTTTTGAAAAATAATATTTGTGAAAATGATCTTTTTGATTAGGTGTCGTTTTTAAAAATATACGTTACTGAAGAAAAAAATTAAATGTTCGTTGTCCGCAAATGTGGAAACAGACAAAAAAATTGACGGAGTTATTCCTTCATTTTAAACAAAATAATATTCCTTATGAAAATATTCTTAAAATTGTAGAACATGCGCTCTCCCTTCCAGGAACAAATACAGCAATATAACGTGTTTTTTCTAGTATCAATAAAATATGGACAATTGAAAAAACGCAGTTGAACATTAAAAATTTAAAATATGTATTAAGCGTAAAATATAATTTGACCAATTCATGTAAGAAATTTCATGACATTTTAATAAATGATTCGAATCTATTGCAAAGTGTTCACTAGGATAAAAAATATGACCGTGAAAGAAAACCATAAATTTTTTAAATAAAATTTTTAATTAATTAAAAAACATAACATTCAAATTATAGTTTTTTTACAAATATTTTTATAGTTACCAATAGTTCATAATAAATACATTTTTGTATATTTATAGATAAGTGAATGAATGTATAAATACATTTTTTTGAATTAAAAAATAATACATTTTTTTGAATTATTGGTCTGCTTTCATAACTAAATGACAATTTTCATTTCATTCCATTTGTCCTGCTTTGTCTCGATGAAAATGTAGTCACTTTAATCTATTAGCTCTAAATAATCTATTACCAAGTTTAATATTATATCATTAGAGGAGATAATACCAAGATACGTAAACTGAGAAACACCCTCGAAAGTATTCGACTTTATTTGCAGCAGGAGGAGATTATGTATTCTACTAGTTATTGTCATAAACTTTGTTTTACACTCATTAATGGGAAGTCCAATGTCTCTGGCTACAGACTCTAGGGAAATAAGTTTCCACAACTTCTGCTAACAATGACGACATCATCAGCATACGCTAGTAACTGTAGAGATCTCTAAAATATGGTGCCTCTGGTTATAATGACATTAAAATAACATGCATACAAGGGCATTATCCTGTCTCAACCCTCTTTCAGTGTAGAATGCCTCTGATAGATGTAATAGAACACATGATTCAAATTCAACCTTTGAAGAGAAATCAATATCTCTTTTTAATTTTTAAAACTGAAATTGATTAAATTAATTAAAAGTTTTTAATTTTATGTTTTAATGCCTTGCAATATATAGAATTAATTTTTTTTCATATTAGTGTTTACTTTAGTATATATATGTAAAATATAAAAAATACAATGACTTTGCTCTACGCGAATACGCAACCTCTAATTTCACGATCTTCCCCCTAGACCAGTACTTCCGAGAACATTCTGGCATGTTACATAACCACTGCTATAAATGAAGAGATCATGCCATTTTTCATGAGACTGCTCCCTGCTATCACTGCAATAAGACCTTGTGCGGCTCTGTTGCTTCTTTCCTTTGTTACGACGTCGAAAGCTTAACCTTACCTTAATTTAAATCATTATTGGATATGTAGTTTTTGAAGAATCTGAAAGAATAATTATCCGCAATTTTAAGTCAATAAAGCTATGGGGTTTTAAAATTTAAATTCTATGTCTTCAATTCAGATGCCTTCCCACTCCACGACCACACCCGGACTCTAAGGTGACCAGGTTGCTAAGCTTTATCATTTCCAATGCCGATCTACTGCAAATACGAGGGCTATCCAGAAAGTAGATTACGTTTTGGAATAAAAAAATAAACAAAGTATAGGAAACAAATTTTATTATATACAGATGAAAGCCACACTCAAATACTACTTTTCTACATAGTCACCATACAAATTAAGGCATTTATCGTAGCGATGTACGAGCTTGGAAATTCCTTCGTCGAAAAATTCGGCCGCCTGCGCCTTCAACCACTTCGTTACCTCTCTTTCTTGCCTTCCATCTTGCACAAAACTTGTGGTAAACCAAGCTTTTCGCTGATGATTTCGTGCAACAAACTTCGCGAAATTTGTGGAAAACTCAAAGAAAGTTCCGTTATTGTGAAATTTCGATTTTCACGGACTTTAGCATCGACTTTTTCGAGAAGTTCGGCGGTCACTATGCTGGGTCTCCCACTTCGATCTTCGTCGTGAACATTGGTTCGGCCATTTTGAAATCTTATGACCCACTGATGCACTCCACCTTCAGTGATAAGGTTGTCCCCATACACTTCACGAAGCTGCCGATAGATTTCTATCGGTTTACAGTTTTTTGCAGTCAGAAACCTTATTACTGAGCGCACCTCGCAGCTCGCGGGATTTTCAATTAACGCAGACATTTCAAACCGTCACAGTATCTGAACGGAGCACAGCACAAACCTCTCACTAGCACGGCTAGATGCAGACTGAGCTGCGCAACGCTCTGACCCCAAGATGGCCGCGCTAGCCCCGCCCCTAGCGGACACAGACGGAAACGTAATCTACTTCCTGGATGGCCCTCGTATTACATATTTGTGTGTCCTTCAATCTGATACACTGATGTTATATCTGAAGTCATGTTATAAGCATTGCACACGTAAACACACTTTATGATTTTACTACCACATAATTTTTTTTTGCGCTAAATACTCATAGATCTACAGAATTACAAAATTAAGCATTTAATTAAAAACACTGAAGAAAACATTTCTGAAATGTATTTTAGTTTACAACATACTTATTAAATTCCATTAT